TCCACTTAGTAGAGAGAGAGAGAGAGTGCAACTTTAGTAGAGAGAGAGTGGAGTGGCTCAAAATTATAGAGAGAGAGAGAGGGGGAGGCTTTTCATTTTGGACCCATGAGAGGCTGAGAATTTTATGGGAGGGACTATAGAGTGTGACTCGTAGATGACGTGGCGATTTTTGTTAGGTGACGTGGCAACTTTGGTAGCTTGGGCTTGTTCGCCCGTGGGCTTCCCCATTATTAACCCCTCACGCCCTTCAAAGTATCTGAACTGCCCCTTCACCAGACCTTTTCTACCTCCAATTCATCGCCATTCTTTTCTATTCCTCGCGCTCGGCATAGACGCTGCCAGCATCTAGGTCGATGACGTGGCGCTCTTTGATGACGAGGATGTCCAGCATGGCTGTTTCTGTTTGATGATGTGGCTCATATCGGTTCGATGACATGCGGTGCTGATTCTAATCCAACGGCCTATGTTTTTAATTCTTCGTTCTTAGCGTTGATGTTGCAAGCCTCGTGACTCATGACATGACATGGCCCATTTGGATGCAATGGAAGTCCAATGTGGTGCATCTTATGTGGCTCGTATTGTTTCGATGATGTAAGGTGCTTACCCTAATCCTACCCACCTACTAATCTTAAACCATTGAATTAGAATAAGTGTATCACACCATCGAACCGATTTGGACCACATCATCACCTTGAGAACTGCCACACACTAGATTTTCATATCATCCCAAGGTGCCATGCCACATCAATAGGCTCGTCGAGGCCCACAACGTGAACACCAAGCGTGGCGAATCAAAAAGATCGGCAATGATCTATAGGCCGTTGGATTAGAAACAACACCGCTTCACATCATCGAACAGATTAAGCCACATCAATAACTGCTACGTTGGAGTTTCACATCATCCAAATGTGCCATGTCATTGGGCTCGAGGCTGGCAACATCAATGAATCGAAAAGACGAGCTCGGCTTTGATGTTATTGGCCTCGAGCCCAATGACAATGTGCATTTCTATGATGTGGAAGTCCAACATAGCAGCTATTGATGTGAGGACGTGGCTCATTCTGTGGATGACGTGCCGCATTAGGGTGACATGGAGTCCAGCGTGGTAGTTCCCAGGTGTGATGTGGCTCAAATCAGTTCCATCACGTGAGGCGCTGACTCTAATCCAACGGCTTACATCATCGCCGATCTTTTCGATTCCTCGCGCTCGCTGTTGACGTCGCTGGCCTCAAGCCTGATGATGTGGTGCCTTGGGATGACGTGGAAGTCCATCATGGCAGTTCCCGGGTGATGACGTGGATAGAACCGGTTCGGTGACGTGAGGCGCTGACTCTAATCCAACGGTCTGCGGTTTGTTTGAGATAAGAGAGAGGTTTCTATTGCTGGAAAAGGGACAAGGGGGTGTGGGGCCCGCGCGTGCGAGGGTGTGGTGGGTCCGCCACGTGTGGATGGCACATGCGCCTCCAACTTCCACCCACAAAGGGTGGAGAGGGAGAGGGAGAGGCGGCTCCCAAAAGATGCCTAGCGTTGAAAGACAAATATCCTTCTACTTAGAAAGTGTTTTGTTTTTTTTTTGAGAAGCCAGTTCCTCAACCTAAGTTTTACTGATAGGGTTTATTTAACTATTTTTAATTATAGAGTTTTAGATAGTATGCTATGGGTGTTTTCAAACCGATCTTGTCGATTTTAAGTTTGAAAGAATGAAGAGGGTTGTGTTAGATTGACAGTCAATATAAATTTTTTTATCACATCTATTTCATAAATATCGATACAATATCATGAGTTTTAAACGATGTTTGAAAATCAATGGTTGGGGTTCGAGCTCATATGTGTCACTTTGATCCCGCAAGGTGCTGGGCTAGATATCAAACCTTAAAAAAAACAGGAGAGTCTAATTGGAATCCAAAATTTTTCATATGCATTTATATTGAAACTCAATTGTTAACGATTTATACACCCATGTGTTCTTAATTTTTTCTCATTAGTGTTAGTTAACTATGCATATATAATACACCTATATGTTCTTAATTTTTTCTCATTAGTGGTAGTTAACTATGCATATATTTGTTTCATTTTCTATTTGGTGTATTAGACTATTCTACATATGGGTTATGGCCAAGTAGTAGTGAGGGTCCACCATGATGAAATAAATGGTCCCACATCTTTCCTTTGGCTTTTCTAGTACACATAAATCAGGTTGCACATGATGGACGAATCAATGCTTGTGTTCTTTTGCCTTTTATTCTAAATGGACGGTGGAAAATCTTTTAATAAAAAGTAATAAGATCACCTGCCTATTTATATGCGATTGAATATAAGGAATTTATAAGTTTATATAAAGTGTCAACCCTTATACTGTGCAAGTACGGTGCAACAAAAAAAAATCTACTTATGTTTTTTCCTAATGCTGTAAAACCATCAAATCAATCATGTTGACCTTGAGGTTAATATATATATATATATATATATATATATATAATAAAGATTTTAAGTCTTGAAAATAGTTCCTCTTCTAACACATTATCTAGACCGTTAATTTTTTAGATTTTCAGGTGTTCATAGATCTGTTCGATCATCACCATTTCTGAAACTTTAAATTTCATAATTGGGGGTAGCAATAAAATTTCATATCATCACAAGACTTTGCAGCTCCAAAAATACCGTTGAAATTGCATTTTCGGCACAATTTTGAGATGCATCTTACTTCAATGGTATAACGTTGACACCTTATACAAACCTCACCCTTTATCAAAATACAACTAAGTTTTGAACTGTTTGACATTTTAGGTGCATTTTGATAATTTTCAAAACCCGATGTGTTGATGGGTTAATTGAAGCTTGATCAAAAGACTAAGCTATTAAAAATTAGATAAAAAAAATATGAGCAACAAGTTAATTTGTTCAAATCTTAGAAGTAGGTTGATAACTTATGAAACGTATGCAATAATTTTTCAAATGCATTTTATTTTACCTATTTTGTTCTATTCCCACTCATTATTATGTGTATTTCGACAGGCAAAATTGGGTCAAGGGCAATTTATCAATGTATCCATGAGAAAGGAACTATTTAACAAATTATCTATTTGGAACTATCTAAACTCATGACTATATGTTTTTTTATAGGTATTTCGAAACAAAATAAAAAAATATGTATGGTGTTAAATAGTCGATTTCCTATGAGTAATTTGATAATTTGCCCTTGAATCAAAATACAACAATAAAAATAAAAATATACAATGAGAACATTTAGGCTACATTTATTGCATTCGCCAAGCTCAAAGTTCAAAAGAAATTTTCCTAAACACATCCAAACTATCAAATTTCATATTAGATGGTTATAAATAATTGTGACATCCTTGTATCAAAGGTATTAAATAGTTAATACCTTTCATATTAGATGGTTATAAGTAATTGTGCAATCCCATAATAAAAAATTAAGTAGATAATATCTTAGGTGCATTTTCATAAATTTATGGAATGTACACCAAAAGCCCTTTTTCTAATGTCATAAGGTTTGAACTTCCTATTGTTGACATAATGAAAAGATATACATCGACTGCCTTAATTTAGACATGAGTGAGATTGAATGCAATGTTTTTAATTGATTGCATTTTTTCAAGAATTGACAAATGCATGGCCCTAATAATGACCCCAAAATCAGTCTTGGAAGTGAGTTGAAATTTCTGTAGGACCTCATTAATGTGGTTAAAATGCAGCCATTCTTGACAAAAATGGAGCACAAAATTAATGTCTTGGTTGTAATTTCTTTAGGACCTTACCAATTTTGTCATGAGTTAAACTTGGCAAAACTTTGCCCAAATTTCATCTCCAGCTAAATCTTGCCTAAATTGGTGAGAAAAATATCATTAATTTGCACAAGAGACAAACCCAAAAAATTGGGATAGGACTCACTTTGACCAATGAGTGGCACCAATGAATAATCTGTATTTCCTCCATTCTTATTAATGAAAATGGGTAGGGGCCTTCTTCCCCACTGACTCATTCAAAAAAACTGTGGCATCAATGAATGGATTGTCCAAATAACCCATGCCAAGCAAGCACATGATATTTAAGGCATGTTTGGTCCGCAAAAAAATAAAGATTTCGGCTTTATACATTTAGTTTTTGTTGTTCTTTTTTAGTCTTTATTACGATTGCTTTTCGGGAAACCATTATATGGTTCACCATTTTATGCCATAGTGTAAGTCAATGAAAAAGGTATTTGTTTATTGGATTTTAAAATTTTCACACATGCGCGTCTCATCAATACTCAAAAAAAATAAAAAAAATAAAATGAGTATGTTATTTTTTATGAATAAAGCCGTCGGCAAAAATGGCCAATGGAGATAGGCCTTTGAGAATTCATTTTCTGTTTTGCTTGTTTATTTTCCAAAAATC